ACGACAAAACCGCGTTGTACGGGGGGCGACTGTTTTTTTTTTTTTTTTTTGGCTTATTTGTTTTTTTTTTTTTTGAACACAATCCTGGAACTCAGAATTATTCTGGGTAAAAATTTTCTTTTTTGACTAATTATCCTGGAAATATTTCTAAAATTATGCTATCCATAATTTGTAAAATGAAAAATTTAAAACAAATAAAACAAATAAACAAAAAAGAATATGAACCATTACTAGATTCTGTATGATGAGAATCTTCTCCACTTCGATCGTCCGACATTTTTGTTGTTTGTTTGTTTGTTTGTAGCTAATTGTTGATTGTAATAATTATTATAATTTTGGTTGAACACACACACACACACAATTATGCAACACACGAAAAAGTTGATTTTCTTTTGTTGAGCTTAATTGCTTTATATCAAAAAAATCTTGTAGATTGGCTTTTTACACAAACTTTTTTGTTTTTTGAAAAATATCAGTGGCCGGTAATCAAATTATCATAAATAATTTTATCAATGAACAGCCAACACACAACACAATACACACAAAGACAAAGTATCACTATGACGATGATGATCCAAACAAACACAGAATACAAGAATCTTTTCCTTTCTTTTTGGTCCTAAGAAATTTTCAATAAAAACAAAACAAAAAACACTTTTATTAACAAAAAAAAAAAATACAGCAAAAAATAATCGTATTCGATTCTTACCCAATTTACAATGTGTTATCCGTTTACTAAAAAAAATATTTACAGTTTAACAGGCACCGAAACCAGAATCCAAAAAACCCAAAACCGTATTACATAAGCCGGTATATACCCCTCAACACACAACAAACAAACACACGTTGGTATCCGCGTTCGAATAATTCGATATATCGAATTAATAGACGACGTTCACGACCTTTCAACCTAAACACACAATCCACAATCCAAAATTCTTTTATTTTTTTTTTTGTTGTTTCACCCGGATTTAACTTCAATCCAAAACAAACACAAAACAAACAAAACACTCACTCTCACTCACACAACAAACAAACAAACACATTTACATTACATTACATTACACCGCAACAAACACACACCAGACACAACAACAGTGTCTTCGAACAGAAACGTTCAAGGAGAATTATCATCATCAGCCATATTCACAGAATATTGAAGAAAAAAAATTACAGGAAATTTACCACCACCACACTTTAGCCAATTTGTATTGAAAAGGAGAAAAGAAATTCACAGCCACACCAAAAGATACAAACAACAGAGGACAAAAGTAACCAGCAGCAGCTTTTGTCATGACAAAACCTGAAACGATGAAAAGTTTTTTTTTTTTAATATCCAAATCGACTTCTACTCCAAACCAAAAAAAAACCACCAAACAAACCAAACAGCATTCACTATCCATTCGAATGCTTGAATGCAGACATTACACTGTATTTATACTGTGTGTGCTTGTTTGTTTGTTTGTTTGAATATTTGCTCAAGGAGACAAGTTTCGATTTTTTTTTTTTACTTACGCTATTCGAATCATATTTTCTGCTATATATATCGTTATTATCCTAACAAGTTTCCTATATATATAAGCACAAGCTAATCACACCTTCATCTAAAAAAACCATGCAGAAAAATCGACGACCATTGCTTATCAACCAATGTTATGACCAAAAAAAAAAAAAAAAAACATGGACGACTGGAGAATGCATGATTCGAAGATCATGATTTAAAAATAATGAATGGCTACGTTGGCGCCATCTATTATTGTCATTTAGAAATGACTTTTCGGTATCGAATCGAAGCTTTTGTGGTTAAAAACAAACAAAAACTTCATTTTTAATCAATTGAAAATCAATCATTTTTTTCCTTCAACCATAATAATATGATAACCGAATTTTGTTCTAATCGGTGGATCAGTATACACTGGTTTATCTAGACTTGAAATTGGTAATTGAAAAGCAGCATCCTGAAATGGACCAA